CCCATGTGCAGAGACGCAGGTGGGAGAGACACAGTGGGCAACATCACAGAACCCAAAAAGGTATGTCATTGTCCATGCTGCTGGAGGTTCAGGTGGCAGTAAAGACAATAGGGCCTCCAATACTTCCCCACACTGTTCCAGAAAGCTGAAGGATCTCTTCTCCATCGACGACAGGCTTGTCTTTGGAAAGATGCGTCTATCTGGAAGATATAAGCCGTAGAAGGCTTTGCAGCCACTGGTTAGTTGTTGGGTTCGACACCTAGTTCATGTGACTGCTGCAGTAAAACAACAAGTGTTACTTATTCGGCTTTCATGACGTGGACGTCTCTACATCCCCACACTAGGGGGCACTATCTTCTCCCACCAGAAACGATGACATGAATGTCCAGCAGCATCCCCACCCCACACCTTGTCCTGTAATGGGACATCCTCCCCTGTAATGATATAAAGGAGCCGAGGAGCTGTCGTTTAGGGCTGGTGCAAGTGAGAGAAAAGTGTTGAGGTAGTCTAGGGGAGTAAGGAGGCAGCACAGAGGTCACCCAGGGTTTAATGGTGTGGCAGTAGGGAAGGCAATGGCCTAAGTGGTATTATCACTAGACTATTAATCAGGAGAATTTGGTAATGTCCTGAAGATCCAAGTTCAAATCCCACCCATGACAGATGGTGGATTTTGAGTTTGTTTAAAAAATCTGGAATTAAGAGTCTGATAATGACAACGAACCATTGCCAATTGTTGGAAAAACCTATCTGATTCACTAATGTCCTTGCCTGGTCTGGTCTACATGTGACTCCAGATACACAGCAATGTGGTTGACTTTTAACCTGCCTTCTGGGCATTAGGGATGGGCAATAAATGCTTGCCTAGCAAGCAACACTCTCATACCATGAATGAATTTAAAAAAAAAGGATAGGGGGTAGCAAGAGTGAATGAGAGGAGGTGTCACATGCAGCAAATGTGGTGCCAGAGCCTAATCTCGGTAGAACGTGGGACCAGCGGCACAGATAAATGCAAAGCAGCAGAGACTGAGGAACTGAACGTACTCTGTTGAGTGGGTAAAATCATTGACCACCTTCCTGCATTGTTGCCTAATCCTCCTTACACTGGCAACAGCATAGATGCAGGAGGCAATCTGACTGGACTGACATAGCGTCTTCTGCTGGTCTGCTTGGAAAAAGATTCCTTTCCTCTCCACCAGCCCGTCGGCTAGGGTTCCAGTTCCCTCTCAGAGAAGTATGCTTACCCTTCTCGGTCGTCTCTCCTAAAGCCAAACAGACAATGGCAACACTCTTGCAGATGCAGATTGGGCTCTCAAAGATGACTAAGCTCCACGAATTCTGATCGTCTGAAGAACCCCCAGTGAGTAGCAAGTTCCTCCATGAATGGCACATGGTAAGATGGGGTGAAAATAGGACATGGTTCCCACTGTGAGGGCTCAAACAGCATTTACAGCAGTGCATTTGGTAAGATTTGGAAAGGAAACCTGCTCAGCCTTGCAGAGAGAATCACTACACCACACTTATGCAACTCACATTTAGCCAACAAAACAGAATGGTAAAATTCAGCTCAAAGGTTTAGTTTTCCACTTTCAGTTTGCAGCAGTCTTGCAGAAGTCCTTGGATGAAGATGAAAATGAAATTATAAAGCAGTGCTCCAGAGAAAGGGGGAACAGTAGTAAAAATGGATAATGTGAAAGCAAGCAGTTCAGTAAAAGTTCCAGCCCAGAAGGGTTTAGATAAAATGCTAAAGAGATGATTTGTAGCTGTGAACAGGAAGGGGCTCAGAATTTATAGGCTGGGAGTTGAATTCACGATTAAACTTAATTCAATCATTATAAAGAACAGGATTCTTCTCTTATGCAAGTAGGATACAAGTAGTGTGTTGAGGTATAAGTAATATGTTTGGAATTTAGAAATGAGCATTTTTGGGATTAATGAGATTATTTTATTGTGTTTCAAAATGTAAGTGTGTGTTTTGTGTAAATAGTTTGAGTCTATTCTGTTTTATCTTTGCTTCCTTTGTATAAACTTGTTTTATGTTCAAAACCAAATGTGCAAAATTGCATGCTTATGCTTCAAAAAGAGAGACTACCTCATCAAAAATTACAATCCATCAAACCAAATTTTAATCTGGGATTGGATTTATCCAGTAATACCATCATCTGGGATCATTGTAACGAGTTACCTTAATTAAAACAATAGATCAGGAATTCTTAATATTGAAGAAAAATATGTGCATTGCAACTGCTATACATTCCTTTTTTTAAATTTTTCATTAAAAGGAAAATGGGCCTTCCATGGCAAATAAAAGAAATGGGGGGATACTCTTTCTTTCTCTCTCTCTTTTATATATACACACAAAAAAAAAACAAACATAAATGGAGGCATCTTACCTTCTGAAATGCGAGGATTCATAAGTGTACAAAGAAACGTCAGAATAATTAAATGATTTAGTTCTGTATTCAAATATAATAGCTGATTTCCTAGCAGTGCTAGGGAATCAAAAGTATTGGGAAAAGGAGTTGAAAGAAATTAATAAAAAATATAGTGCTGATAAATCCTCAGCACCTGATAATCTATGCGACAGAGTACTAAAGGAGAAAGCCACGGAAATAGTGGATCCGTTCGGTATCATCTTTCAAAATTCTATAGATTCTGGAACAGTCCTGATAGACTGGAGTGTGGAAAATTTAACCCTACTGTCGAAAAAAAAAATGGATGGAGAAACGCAGATGTGCAGTCATATCAACTGAGCGTCAGTACTGGAGAAAATACTGGAGTCTATGAGAAAGGCTATGACAACACTGGGAAAATACCGATAGGATTACACAAAGTCAAGATAGACTTACAAAAGGAAGACAGTGTTTGACAAACCTACTAGAATTTTTTTGAGGATACAACTATAAAAATAGATAAGGGAGAATGATTAGAAGGAATACATTTGGATTTTCCAAAGCTTTTGATAAAGTCCCACAGAAGAGGTTAATGTACAAAATCAAAGCACACGAGACTGGTGGAATATAGTATAATAGAAATGGTCAGTAGAGTAGAAGGCCATAATGAGTGGGGTGCCACAGGGAACAGTGCCTGGGCCCCAGCTATTCACAATACATGTCAATGATTTGGATGAAAGAATCAAATACAATATGTTCAAGACAACATAAAACTGGCTGGGAGTGAGAATTGGGATGGCAAGTAATGAGTAGAGTGCAAAAAGGCTTCAAGGTGATTTAGACAAGTTGAGCGAGTGGGCAAATGCAGATACAGTATCATTTGGGTAAGTGTGAAGTTATCCACCTCATGGGAAGTACTTCTGCCCCTATTTACTTTGTTTCTATGTCAGCTCACTTCATAGGACTTTCCCCAGAACCATGTATTTGCTTTTCTCCCTTTTGAAGAATTTATCCAATTCTCTTTTCCATATATTTACCATTGCATGATTACTGCAAATGATAGTGTTTTAAATTCATTCATTCACAGGATGTGAACATCACTGGCTGAGCCAGCATTTATTGTTAATTACCTTGAGGAGGGCAAATTTTAAACGTTGGAGTCACATGTAGGTCAGCTAATGAACCATCTAGTTTCTGCCCACCCCAAAAAGCCTGCATATAAACTGACATTTTCCCAGGAAGGGTCACCGGACCCGAAACGTTAACTCTGATTTTCTCTTCACAGATGCTGCCAGACCTGCTGAGCTTTTCCAGCAACTTTGTTTTTGACCCTAAAAAGATGTCAGCAATGGTCATCACTGGACATTCAATTCCAGATTTTTTCTTTAGTGAATTAAATTCCAATCTATCGTGGCAGGATTCAAACTCAGGTCACCAGAACATTATGTTGGTCTGTGGTTTAACAGTCCAGCAATAATACCACTAGGCCATTGCCCCTGCTCAACGTGCAGTACACTGGAACTGGTTTACAGGAATCAAGAAGACCCTATCTCCTCGTTCAGTGATGAACATCATTAGCTTGAGATATTAAAATTAACATGGATGTATTCTGGAATTGATAAAACTATAATCAAAACGTTCTTGAAAATAATCTCGCAGTCGGCAAGTGGCCCAGCGCAGAGATGGGGTAGCGGTGGAGAGTGTTTGGGTTCCAAACTGCCTCTGTATCGATGAGGCGGTCCTAGTGCTGACTCATGGCTGCTGCAACAAAAGCAAATTTGGGTTCCCTGCAGCATTTACTTCCAGCAGAGGCAGTAGCAGAGACCAGTTTGGGCCCAAGACGAGACCCGGTGGCATCGGCAGGAGCTACATCAGCAAGGGGGTTCTAAAGCAGACTCATGACAGCGACAGTGTTGAGTCTGGGCCGATGCAGTACCCAGCAGTATTGATAGAGTCTGCACTGATGAGGTCCAATGAGGACTCAGTGGTGAGGACATCAGTAGAGGCAAGAGGCTGACAAAGGAGGGTGACTTCTGTTCCAGCAGTGGCCACACAGTGAAGGGGACTTGTGTCGGCCACCAGGCCCATGGTGGAGCAGTTAACAAGAAGGACTGTAAAGCTGAACACTTTTTCCTTTATTCTTCTGCCTGTACATTCTATGTTTTGGTTTATTTTTCTGTGTTTTAAGATGGTGCCAGAGAGGCATTTTTCACTGTGTTTTGTTATAAAATACACATGACAATGAGTAAATCAAATCAGTATCACCCGAGGTCCTCCTCTAAAAGAAGATAGCTCCGCCAGTGGTAACAAAATACTTACTGGGGCATTGGCTTAAGACAAAGATTCTGCTCACAGTGCTTGCACAGGCATTGGACAACAACGAATGAATTGTGAAACTATGATTCAGTCTAGTGATTGATATGGAGGAGATTGTATATCAGAGAATCCAAACACATTTATTCATGTTGTACAAAATTGATGTAGTTTGGTCAGAATACATTTTGTGTACAGACTTTCTCCCCCCCCCCAACGTTCAATCCCTTCACAAGAACATTTTGAGTGGTTTATTTTGAATTGCCTGAAATAATGAATAATCTAAGGCTTATGAAATATTTGTGAGCTACACATCAACTCATGGTGTCTTTCATTTTTTATTGAAAAATTCATCCATAAATTAAATACAAAAATGTATAACAAATGATCAAAGGCGTGAAATAAGGGACAGAAGGCTTTGAGGTGAGAACTCTAATACTTTCCAATGCTTTTCAGTGCATAGGTCTAGAACGTTGCCTGGCCAACTCCACTTGGAAACATGCAAAAACTAGACCATACAACAAAAATTTAAACAGGCACCATAGTTTAACAATGCATGCCAACACTTGAGGAAAAAAAGGGCTGGTAATTTCAAGTTTTTTTTGCCCATCTTCCTGCACAGTATTATTGAAAGTTTGATAGATTTCTACTTTTTTGTCCATTTACTGACTTCTTTACATGCAATCTGGGTCATGTGCAAACATTGTGGGTCTTGTGAACAACATAGTTAAAAAGTGGTTAAAATCAGAATTATCCATCAATTCCATTACATGAAACATGCTTATGAAATGGGCAAATCATTTACCAAATAGGTATGTTGAATATTTAGAACGAAAAGAATTGTGGTCGGAATAGTTTCAAATTGACAAGAAGTTAAAAGGGGGAAATAATATTCAAGAGAATTTTGGAACATGTACTGCCTTACAGCAGCTTTCCAATTCTTAAACTGTGACATTTTTCAAAATGTTTTCTATAATATGTTGGAGCATGCATATCACAATTTTCTCATCTACACAATCACACAAGAGAAATTGTTTAGAGAAAAAAAAATCAGCAAAACATGAACAGTACATATTTAAGTGCTTCATCAAAGCCATTGGAGAGTGTGCGCGTGCGTGTGTGCGCGTGCGTGTGTGCGCGCATGCATGAGAGAAAAGATAAAAGGAGGGAAGAAAAGACACAAACATAGGGTTACATATAGCTATGATCAAAACAAATACAATTACATGTTTATTTCTGTACTAAAGCAATACCAGTTTCAGAAATAGCAACACAAGTTACCATTTTAAACCACGACCAACAGCTGAAAATGAAACAAATCAGCATTCTCTTTATTGCTATACACTCTGACCGCATCATATTTAATATTCTGGATAATATATGCAATACTTCTTCGTGAAACACCAGCTTCAAATACTAACATAAAAACTGAATAAGGCTAACAGCCTTTCGAGGACAAATAAGTCTAGGAGAGTGAAATTCTTTGCCTTTGATCCTTTTTTTTTGCTTAAAAAAGGTTCAGAGTCCAAAATAGGAATTTTATTTTGTGTTCCTACTAGCAGCTTGGCAAAAAAAAGGACAAATTTCATCCCCAGATGTCCTCTCATATTGACTGATCATGACCTTGCAACAAAAGCTTTCATGTCTGTACACCAGGGTTGTTCCTCATTGCAAACAGCAGGGCCTGTATCATGACATTACCATTCATTGGTGGATGGGACCATAGACTCAAAAAAGGTGTAAACCAAAGATTGATACAAAAATATACATACATATATACATATATATATATCTCTCCACTTCTTTTGCTATAATTTTCTCTTTTCCCCATCTCCTCCTGGCACATATAACACTAGAGCTATAACAGTTGTGTTAAAGCCATGCAGACAGACTCATCATGTACTAACACGCATTTAATTTGTCCTCGTCAAAAACCCTGCAGAAGCTTGGATTTAGCTCCTTGTCCTATTACTATCGTGTGCAGCGAACTATAACAACATCTGGAAACCATTTTTATTCAAATGGACAATGGGCATTAGCACCTAGTCAATAAGTTGACCTTTAACAAATGTTCACAAATATGATTGGCATACAAGGAAAGGAACTCACCAATTCAGGCAGATAAGCTCAAAGTATTAGCTAAGTGCTTGGACTAAAGAAGTTAGTTAAATTTCCCAAATACAGAACATTAAATAAACACAAACTCAGCAGTTTCAAAATTTCTGGAGGTTGCCATAAACCCAATTTGTAATAATGCAAAATTGCTTCCTACATTTCTAATGTACTACCTTGTTAATTAAAATGTCATAGTATAATTAGCACACATTTACTTTTAAAATGCCGATTATTCATTGTAATTGCTTATATTTGCATTAAGTCAAACAACCACAATTTGTTGCTTTAACAGGGGCATATACAAATATGCCAAATTTTCTGGGAACAATCCATGAATTTCAGCAGCATGAGAGTGTAGCAGTAAAGAGGACTGAAATAGAACACCCACTAAGTTATATATTCAGGAACACATACGAATCTATTCACCTCACATTCAAAATTAAGGGGATTATATTCAGTGTGTTCTGTGCTGTACATATACAACAGTGTCAGACTTATATTGTTGATCTGAACATGTAAACCTTGTGGTTCAGTAGACTATAAATAAAAAAATATCTGGCAATTCACAGCTTATTTACAAAACAAAACATCATCCACTAGAAGTGCATTAACAATTGCTAGCGAATAAAAACAAGGTATGGTATGCTTTCAATTTAACATTTGATCACAAGGTGATTGGAAAGGAAACTGCTCACTTCATTCTTCTTGGCATCCTAAGCCAAAATATGATTTAACAGTTTCCAAGTAGCTCTGCAGTCTTGAAATTCAGATTGATTCATTGTCCAGATACTGTTCAGTGGATTCTTCAGTTTATGTTTTCTTCTTGATTAATGATGTACGATTATCCAATTGGAAAAATGGAAAGAGGTTACATTGAAGAAGTTCGCTATACAATGAATTTTTTAGGCCTGGTTTTCTCATTCACCAGCACTGCTGCATAGTCATTGATCAATATTCAATTTGGTGTCAAATAATAAAGTCAACTGCTGGCCAATTCCTCGTGACTACGCAAAGGAACTTCTGTGTTGTCTCACTGCAGATTTTTACCAGGTTTGCAAGTCCACCAATTTTTCTGAGCAAGCAACCCTAACCCTCACTAAACTGTTATGCCCATTCTAGATTAATAGTCACTCACTGGAGCCAGCTCCGGTGTCAAGTTTACAGTTATATTTTTATACAAGGCTTCAACTGTAATATTTGGAAAGTACTTCAAGTTTTGCAGGCCATCAAGCTTTTGCCTTTCTTTAGAATGTCTCAATAAAGCATATCTGTAACAAAAACAAATATTTTACCAGTGAAACAGTTTATTGATGATGCTTTCATGTCAGTTAAAATAATTAAATAACTTAATATAACAGATGCTGCTTGAATTTATATACAAAAAAGTAGACAGCTTCAATTTTGCAAAATTAATGGCTTTATCAAAAAGTGCTAACAAATGGAGTTAGTACAACAATAGATTGAAATATTGCTGAAACAATATATTAATGACTCAAAAACACAACAAATCTACTTTTAGACAAA